GCGGGGCTCCGGCCAGGGCTGAGGCGAGTGATGAAATCCCCCGAAAGACCTTATCTCTGGCTCTGACCTCTCCTTTCTCTGTTTTCTCTCCCCTCTTCTTTTTCCTTGCACCCTCCTTCCCCTTCTTTCTGTTTCTCTCTCTCAATCTGTCTGTCTGTCCTTCTGTCCCATTGCCCTTTCTGCCTACAGAAGAAAATCATGATCATCATTTGCTGTGTGGTGCTGGGGGTGGTCTTGGCGTCATCCATTGGGGGGACGCTGGGCTTGTAGGCCCCCCCAACCCTATCTCCCCCAGACCCTTTCCTCACCACATTGGGAGCAATACCCCCACTACCCCTTTCACTCCATCCCCTGCTCCAGGCTCACCCCCAAGACAGACCCAGGCAGCCCTCCCCTCTACCCCCCATCAGACCCTAGAGTCCCTGGACCTCACCGCGCCATGGACCACCCCCACCCCTCCACGTAAATAGCAGCAGGCGTGATTACACATGCACACCAACATGCATGCCCCGGCACATGCTCGAGACGGGTGGGCACCCCAGCGTGTGTGCGTGTACTCAGAGATGTGTGTAGAAGCATCACATCACCCTTCTTGCCTCCCTCATATCTGTGTGTTGTCTGAGCTTTTGCCCTTGGCTTGGATGTTGTGTAGACTATGGCCGGGTATAACACAGCAGCCCACCAAGCCCCTCTGTCTTCTGTGAATGTGTGTGTGTGTGTGTGTGTGTGTGCGCGCGCGTGTGCCCACAGATTTGTGGACACATAATTTGTGTACATGGACTTTTGTGTTTGAGTGTTTGAATCTAATGCAATAGCACTTCCACTGACACCCCCTCCCCCACATCTGCTACAAATGGGGTGGGTTGTGAGTGTACAGATGCTCATCCCAGAGGATCCAGGTAGGCCCAAGTTCACAGGCCATGGCAGGCACCCAGCGTGATGTGGAGCAGATCTTCCTGACTTAGTCACCCCAGGCGTGGTTCCCGGGGAAGAATGTGTGTGTTGTGAGCCTTGGAGTTGAGCCAATGTGAGTGGAAGCATAAATGTACAAATAACCTAGTTTGGCTTGTATATACATGTACACTGCCCCCAGCAAGTAACGTGAGAAGCACATGTGTGTCTCAGGATTTGCCTGAAGTGCTGGTAGGTCTCTTCAGACAGAGCCGCCCATGCTGTGCACTGGATACCTGTTTGGGTGGGCACAGGAATCTGTACTTCTGTGCTGTCTAGACTGTGTGTGTGAGCATGTGTGTGTACTTGTACAAAGGCTTTCTCCATAGTGTGTTTCTGTCCCCGTTTGTTATATGCACACGTGTTTCTCTTTAAGGACTCCTGCCCCATCCAGATTTGTCTATGCAGATTGACTTGCCCCTCCCTCTCTCCCCAGATCTGCTGCCCAGTATCTGATATGGCCACACACTGCAACATCAACATTGTGCAACTGACGCTTCCTGCCCTGTTGGTCAGAGCCCTGAGCACACATCCCAGACGCTTCTCTTCCCCTGTGTCCCTGCCATAGGATAGGCCTGCACCCATGAGAGCTGGGACACCCATGTGCTCACACATGCCAAAGCTCAGGAGGCCTCGTGTAGGTGGCCACACCCAGGCACACACATACACACTGTAGTACACATGCATGCTGACTTGGGCATGGTGCCCATACAGGCCCACTCCCATTTGCACATGAATGGGATTGGGCCTCCTGGAAGGCTAGTGTGAGAATGTTATTGATGAGGCCAATGTTGAGGGCTGCCCCAGACAGCTAGGAAATGAGAGAGCATTCCTACCTTCTACACACTTACCTCAGAACTGGGAGAGGCCAATATTTGTCCCCATTACCCCATTTGATGCTCTGGGCTCTGTCTCAGGGACCTTGGGTTTGGGGAACTGTCTGTTGCAGGTGCACTGGAGTGGCCAGTGTGGCAGCAGCCACTCAGGGAGGGCTAAGTCCCAGGATCCATCCCCTGGACTCATTTGCTGAAATGTCTGCAATAGCTGCTTCCTGACCAGGGTGAGATTGAGGGTGGAACACAGGCCTGGATCTGATGGTGAGGAAAGGGCTAGCTCCTCCCTTGTGTAGGCAGCATATGCACAGGTGGGTTCATGCGTTTGGTGGCAGATGGGAGGTACATGAGCAAATGACAATGTTGGAAGGCTCCCGCACTCTGTAGCTGAGGAACATGGACCCACATATACAGGACTGAACACACTAGTACAGGAATGTGTCCTGCCCTGGGGGTGGGCATACATGTGCACAGGGTAAAGGACTCAGGGTTGTGTGCAGATCATTTTCCAGGGTTCCACTTCATGTGAAGCATGTGCGTGTGTGCGTGTGTGTGTGAGACTGTAAATGTGACCTGGAACACAATGCCCTACCCACCCTCACCCCAGCTCAGAAGCCAGCCTCTTCCTTACCTGGCTGTTTGGGCTCTACTTGTGTGTGGCCAATATGTGTAAACTCCAAGGTGGGCTGTCTTGAAGAGGGGCACCTGCCTGTCCATTCCCAGAATGCCCTTTAGCAGGACGGGAAGTTTGCCCCTGTGTCTGACTGCAGCCCTCCTGCTCCCTTCTCAGACTTCTTCGGGGATGTCAAAGCAGGCCCCAGCAATTTCCCACCCCTCCCCCATTTTCCTTCCGGTTACCCAGCCAGGACACCCTTCCAGCCCAGATGTTTCCCAAATTCCCCGGACCACAAGGAGAAGGGTGGAGCCATGGCTGTAGTGAGGCTGCTGTCTCCTTGAGTGATAGTAGGCGCATGGCTGCCCATCTCTGGGCGGCAGACCAGAGGACCCCAGAGGGTCTGCTGTGCCTCACCTTCCACAAGTCCCACACATCATATGATGTGTTGCTTGTTGGCTGCTGTGTCTGTATGTGTCCTAGAATGTTGTCTGGGGGCTAGTGTCTTAAGACTTGCGTGGTCTTGGAGGAGTGTGTGCTGCGAACCCTCCCACACCTACAACCATGTGTGCCCTGTGGGTGGTCCCGGGCCTGGCCAGGGCTCGCTGCTTCCCCTCCCCTTTAACCCTAGCTCTGCCTCACGAAGCACACTGCGCGTCCATCCCATGTGCCTGTGGGTCGACGCACGCTCTTGCCACGCCTTGAGCGTGTGTACATGATGTGTTCTATGCATTCACCCTGCCCCCCAGCCTGCCCCGCAAAGGACAAGATGGTGGCCCCCCCGGCTCCCTTCTACCCCCTGCCCGCTGTGCAGCCGTGTGCGTTGGCGTGTGTTTCCGTGTCGCTGGCGTGTCACGTGATGTAGCTGTGTTTGCTGACATGAGCCCCTGCCCCTTCTGTTTCTCCATTGGTTTCTAGAGCTCTTTTCCTCTCCTCTCCAGAGGGGACAGGACTCTTAGGGCCTGGCTGGGGGCCCAGAGCCAGGCCACCCTCTCCTGTTAGCCCTCAGAGACCCATTTCTCTCTATTGGTGACCAAGTTGCAAATGGATAAAACAGGAAAATTCTGCCCTCTCTCCCCAGCCCTGCATGTCCTGTCCCCAGAGCCCCCACCCCCACCCTGGGCCGGGTTGGGCCCCGTGGAACGGGAGAAATAGCAACCAATCCAACAGCGGGCGTGCTGCGTGCTCACTTCCTTCTGTCCCCACATGGGACGGGCGCCGTGGGGAGGGGTGACACATGGGGGGAGGTGGGCCAGGGAGTGGGGCAGGCTGCTGGACATGGGGGGGAGATAAGGAGCTTTAATCCAGGGCTGGGCAGGTACAGTCACTGGGACATCCTCAGGCAGAGGCCTCACAGTAGTGCAGGAACTACATTTGGGCACGGGTGGGGAGAAGTGAAAATACACAGATGTCATCAGCTTTCATGGAGGAGAGTGAAAAGATAAACATCTAAAGGTGATAACTGTTTTAAAATAATGGGAATATG